TGTCCCGGCGGAGATCCGCGGGCAGCGCCCGACGGCCGCGAGCAGGACCTCCACCTCTACGCGCACAGTCTCCTCTTCACCCTCCTTATCGTCCTTCCCATCTTGCTAAAGCCGACGCCCGGTTGCGTTTGCAGTTGCGTCCACGAGCGGGTTGCAATGTGTCGTTTGATTTGGATTGCGGTTGCGCCCGCGGGCGGGTTGAAATGTGACCTCTAGTTGCGGTTGCGGTTGCAGTTGCGCCCGCAGGCGGGTTGACATGTGTCCTCTAGTTTTGGTTGCGGTTGCGCCTTGCGGTTGCGGTTGCAATTGCGGTTGCGCCCGCGGGAGGGTTGAAATGTGTCCTCTAGTTGCGGTTACGGTCGCGCCCGCGGGCGGGTTGAAATGTGTCCTCTAGTTGCGGTTGCGGTTGCGCCCGCGGGCGGGTTGAAATGCGTCCTCTAGTTTCGGTTGCGGTTGCGGTGGCGGTTGCGCCCGCGGGCAGGTTGAAATGTGTCTTTTAGTTGCGGTTGCGGTTGCGCCCGCGGGCGGGTTGAACTGTGTCCTCTAGTTGCAGTTACGGTTGCGCCCGCGGGCGGCTTGAGATGCGTCCTCTAGTTTCGGTTGCGGTTGCGGTGGCGCCCGCGGGCGGGTTGGAATGTGTCCTTTAGTTGCGGTTGCGGTTGCGCCCGCGGGCGGGTTGAACTGTGTCCTCTAGTTGCGGTTGCGGTGGCGGTTGCGCCCGCGGGCAGGTTGAAATGTGCCCTCTAGTTGCGGTCGCGGTTGCGCCCGCGGGCGGGTTGAAAGGTGTTTTCTAGTTGCGGTTGTGGTTGCGGTTGCGCCCGCGGGCGGGTTGAAATGTGTCCTCTAGTTGTGGTTGTGGTGGCTGTTGCGCCCGCAGGCGGGTTGAAATGCGTCCTCTAGTTCGGTTGCGGTTGCGGTCGCGCCCGCGGGCGGGTTGAAATGTGTCCTCTAGTTGCGGTTGCGGTGGCGGTTGCGCCCGCGGGCGGGTTGAAATGTATCGTCTAGTTGCGGTTGCGGTTGCGCCCGCGGGCGGGTTGAAATGTGTCCTCTAGTTGCGGTTGCGGTTGCGCCCGCGGGCGGGTTGAAATGTGTCTTCTAATTGCAGTCGTGGTTGCGCCCTAGGGCGGGGCGAAATGTGTCTTTTGCTTGCGGTCTTGGGGCAGTCTTGGAGGCCTCTTGGGCCCCTCTTGGAACCCTCTTGGGCCATCTTGTAGTCATCTTGAGGCTTCGGAAGGCCATATGAAGCGAAAAGGCGAGGAAGCAACCAACAGTGATTGTCTAGGCTTACGCCACCACGGGCCCCTTGCTATAGTCGGGTGCTTTCCATTGGTATCCTGGAGCTGTTTGGGGTCGTCTCCGGGGCCTCTTTGGCATTTTGGGGGCCCTTCCGGGGGAGGAGGATCCCGTCAAGCACGAGGACGAGCTGTACAGCGACGAAGAGTCGGACCCGACAATTGTCGATGCGGCCACCAGGCGGAAGACGCACGTGGGGGGCACGCCCATGGAGAAAGAGGACAGGCGGATCAACGCAGTCGTGGAGGGCGACAAAGAAAGACGTCGGGAGGCGATGGCAAGATGCGACGCGGTGTGGGGCGCGGACATGAGTAAGAAAGGCAGGGCGCGACGGACGCGCGGAGGAGATGGTGCGTTGATGGGGATGACGGTGCAGCGCAGCGGGCACAGGCGGCGGCTGCGGCGTCGAGGGCCCAGGGAGGGAACGGCCAGGGGGAGGCGGAGAACGCCCCGCAAGTGGTGGCGGGAAGGAAGGCGACGGCGTTGAGCGCGCGCAGGAGATTCTCGATTTATCCTGAACCGACCTCGTTTTGGATTGGTCTCACGTTTCCCTCAGGACCCGTTCCTGTCACGCCAAGGCTCCGGGGCCGCCCGCCCCGCGGCTCCGCGGAGGGTCTCCCCGACGGCGGGGCGCCTCGAGAGGGCGATCTTTCGCCTACCCCCCCTGCCCTGAGTCAGCGTCGTCGTCGCCCTCTTCTCCCTCGTCCTCTCCCTCGGAGTGCGTGTGGCCTCGTGCGTTCGCTGTCGCCCGTGGGGGGACACGCTCCTTGCGTGCCAGGACCTCCTGGCTGCCCGCGTCGCGGCCCGCGTCGTTCGCGCGCGCGCGCGCCCGAGCCGCAGAGGACCACATCCTGACCCCCCGCGCCGCGGCCGCCACGCCGTGATGCCCGCCACGGGGCATTCGCGAGTGTCGCCTACGGCCGAGGAGGAGGGGGGACGACGCAGCACGTCGTCCTCCCCCACCTCGCCCCTTCCTCCCTCCCTCGTCCTCCTTCCCCCCCTCCCCCCCCCGCCCTCCCCTGTCCTTTCTCCATTCTCTCCCCTTTTTCCTCCTCCTCCTCGTCCTCCTCCTGCATCCCACCTTCTCTGTTCCGTCCTCCTCGCTCCTTCACTTGGTCGTCCTCAAGTTCCCCCCCTTCCACTTCTCTCCGCTGGAAGTGGAAAAGGGGCCGAGGCGGGCCAGTAAGCAAAAGCAGGGGGAAGGCGGTCTCTGTGTCCCTAGCCCCTAGCTCTGCCCGCCTCCGAACAGTGCTGCTGGAGAAAAGCGGCAGGAGGAGGAGGAGGAGGATAAGGAGAAGGAAAGAGGAGGAGGAGGAGGAGGAGGAGGAGGAGGAGGAGGAGGAGGAGGAGGAGGAGGAGGAGGAGGAGGAGGAGGAGGAGGAGGAGGAATTAGGAAGGAGGATTAGGAGGAGGAAGGAAGGAGAAGGAGGAAGGAGGAAGTAGGAAGGAAGATAAAGGAGGAAGAGGAGGAAGGATGAAGAGGAGGAGGAGGATGAGGAGGAAGGAAGAGGATGAGGAGGAAACGGAGGAGGGGGGAGGAGGAGAGGAGGAGGAGGAAGGAGGAGGTGGAGGAGGAGGAGGACGAGGAAGGAGGAGGAGGAGGAGGAGGAGGAGGAGGAGGAGGAGGAGGAGGAGGAGGAGGAGGATGGGGTGGGCCGCATGGCGTCGTCGCCGAGCCCTCATCCTCCGCATCCATCCTCTTCCTCATCCCTTCCTCTTCTCTTCCTCATTCCTCATTCCTCCCCTGGGTCGAGGGCGGCGAGAACTGGGTGGGTGAAGAGAGGTGGGCTCTTCGTGCACGGCAGGTGCACGCGTCTTCTCCACTTTCTCCTCCTTCTCCTCCTCCTCCCCCTCCACCTCCTCACTCCTCCCTCCCCTTTCTTCTCATCCTCCTCCTCCTCCTCCTCCTGCTCCTCCTCCTCACTCCTCACTCCCCCCTCCCTTCCTCAAGGCAGCCCCGGCGGCCGCGCCCGTCGCCCCTCGCCCCTGTGCCTGGGCGGCGCGCCCGGCGCCACTGTTCGCGCTGTGCCGGGTGCCCGCGTGCACCAGGCGGCAAGTTTGTTTCATTCGGCGGAGGCAAAGGGGAGCGGATACTTCGGACGGGGCTAGGCAGGACGAGGATAAATCCATTCCAGAGCGTTCCTGAACACTCAGAGCGTTCCGAGACGCTCTGGGAAGGCCGCGGCGTCCGAGACATTCTCCAGAACCGCCGGACCTCAGAAAGTCTCGATTTATCTTCGCCCGATGTTATCCTCGTCCCGACTTCGTCTTAAGATTGGAGCCGTCTAGGGGTCTGCAGGAAGCGGGGGAAGAGGTTTCGAGGCTCTGGGTTCGAGCAGGTTTTTTGCAGCTTTCGGCCTCTGGGGGCCGTTTTGGGCTCTGGGGCCATCAAAAACGGATCCAGGGTGAAAAACTGCGCCAGATGGAACCTGCCGGATGGCTTTGGGAATCGTTTTTGAAGGATTTGGCTCCATCCCCCTCCTGTCCGGTTTTCTGGGGTTCGAAACAGTTCAGACACCCGGGCCGCCTCAGGGCCTCAGGGACTTTGGCTTAGCGTGTCGCTCCGCTGGTTCTGGCCCCCGACGCTTTGGCGCGACACGCTGTCCACGCTGGCCTCAAAGCGTCAGTTCCCCGAGCCTTGCCCATCCTCCCGCTCCGCGAAGCGGAACGACACGCTCTCCGCTCGCAAGGCACAGCGTTTCGCGGGGGCCGCCGCCATGTTTTTTGCGTCGGCGGCTAGGCAGGGGACGTCTGCGCTGGCGGATGGACCCAGCAAAAGGGGGGTGCCGTCAAAGCGAAATGTGCCACCATGCAGGAGGAGGAATAGGCGAAGGACGCGGCCGAACGAGAGGGCGGGTGGAGCGAGCCGCCCGCTGCCGTGACGCGCTATCCAAAGTTCCCGACCGTAGCCAAGGGCGATTTGTTTTTTTTCGATCCGGGCGTTTTCTCCTCCCTGTCGTCTCTCGGGGGCAGTTTCCAGGCCCTGGGGCAAGAGAAAGTTGGGTCCGGAACGAGAGTTACCCCTGGGAGATGGGGTCGGGACTTCGGGGGTGGCAGGTCAAAGTGGATTCGGCGGAGGCGCACGGGGTGGATAGCCCCCCCCCCCGCGTCGCGAACAAAAGCGCCACGGGAGGCTTTGGGCCGCGTTGGTCGCCCTCACCGAACCCCAGGACCGCAGAAGAGAAAATTGCCCGGGGTGAGCAGCCAGTCCTGGGGAGGTGGCCCAGACCTCGTGGGGGTCCACGGTGCGACAAAGATCACTTCGTCGATGCTCTGCAGAGGCCCAGAGATTCGACGTCGCGTGATTTTCGTCTGGCCCGGCCCAGAGCCTCCAACAGGCCCCCAGTCGATGGGTGGACCCCCGTCGTGATTTTCGTCCGGCCCGGTCCTTGCGTCGAAGCTCGAGGTCGGGCCTGCGGGTGCACGGTGCCGGAAGAATCACGGCGTGTCGCCCAGGGGCGGGTCGGGCGAAGGGGGGCATTTAAAACATGGCCAGGATCGGGATGAATCGCTCCAGGAGCGGCCGCGGCGCCCAATACATCCTCCAAACCCGCCGATTCTCAGAGATTTCGAGTTATCCCGATCCGATTTTGTCCCGATCTTCGCGTCGTTTTAGTCAGGAGCGAAAGAAGGACGTACATGTACATGAATCCACGCTGGTTTCGAGAGTAGGCATTGCGCAAATGTTCGTATAACGCGGCCGGTCTCGCGGATCGAGGGGCCGTGTTCATGTACATAGCTGGGCGCGTACGTCCTTTGTGGGCTCCCTAGGGGGGGGGTGCAGAGATCTGCTGCAGGCGTCGGCCCCGCCGCCGGGCGCCTCTCCTCGATGCGTCGGGGGCGCCTGCCGCTCCCGCCGCCTGGCTGGCGCCGGGAGAGTCTTAAGTCGGGCCATGGGGGGTTCTCGACGAGAAATAATTACCCTGCGACGTACCCAACCCAATGGCATCAAGTGGCAAGCGGAGTAGGGAAACAGTAGGAAGAGGGAAGAGAGGAGGAGGAGGCGGGAAGGAAGGAAGGTGGAGACCGCAGTGCTCTATTCAAAACGAGTACCCAACGCAGGAGGGTTGGGAAAAGATACCCCAAAAATAGTCCAAAAATAGTCTGGGGACTAGTTTTGGACTATGTGTTGGCCTTTCTAGAGCATTTTTGAGGTATTTCTTTTTTTCGTCGAAGATCCCCCTGTTGGGGGACAGGCCCGACATAAGCCTGGATGGCGCCGGGAGAGTCATCCATGTGCTTGAGCTGGTTTGCCAGCCCCTCGTTTGCTACCTCCCACGTCGCCTGGGCCGAAGAAGAGTGGGTAGCTTTGCAGAACCGTCTGGGGGTCTGATGTGGCCCGGCACTTTTGGCGAGCAAGAAGGGGGTAAGAAGAGAGGAGTTGTTAAGTGATGCGAGCAAGAGGGGGTTCGAGCAGGTTTCTCGCCGTTTTCGGCCTCCAGGGGCCGTTTTCGGGCCCCGCGATCAAAAACGGATCTGGGGTGAAACAGAGTGCCAGATGGACCCCGCGAGGGGTCCGGGGGATCGGAGTTTGGCGAATTTGGCCTCCTCACCCCTCGTGACTGATATCTGGGGTCGCAGCCAGTTCAGCCGCCTCCAACTCCTGCTACCTCCCACGTCGTCCGACCCGGAAGAAGAGCGGGCAGGGCTGGCATTTTCCGGCAGGTTCGCGTCGTGTCGGCGCGGCGGCAGCCCCAGCGCGGGCGTTCCAGGTGGAGCGCCGCCAGCGGCCCAGGGTCGGCCATTGTGGAAGGACCTGGCGATCGAAAGGCCGTCGATCGTTCCAGGTCGAGCAGCCCACGCGGCGTCGGAAACCAACGCCAAGGCCGCCACGGCAGGAGAGCCCGCCGCAGACGTACTCGCCGGGGGACCTCGCCAAAGGCGTGGGCGACCGGAGCCCCCCTGGGTGCACGCGGTGCTCTCCCCCGGCCTGAGCGCCCCTGTGGCCGCCGCCGAGCAGCGAGCGTGCTGGAGCCTGCTGCAACGGACCAGCGCTCGGCCCGAGCCGAAGGCTCCGTGCCTCCTCCTCGCGGCGAGAGCAAGCGCACTTACAGCAGGCACATCGAGCCAGGCATCGGCCTGCCAGCGGGTGCCCCGCAGAACTCTCCCATCCCCCCGGTGGCCCCGGAGGCTCTCGGACGCCCTGGGGCACCCTGGGAAGCTCGAAGCTCGACGATAAAGTGGCCCCTACTAGTGGCCCCTAGATCCCTTATAGCTGGATTTCTTATCTGATGTGTCTGTAGTCCCCGGGCCACACTGCATCGCCGATGCCTCGGCGCTGCGGCACGATCCGGGGCCTGTTCTTGCCGTGCCGGTGTCGGCGGCATCGTCGGAGATGCGTCGGAGGTGCGGTGCGACCTTTGGGCCTCCGCTTGCTCCAGCCACACCTGGGAGGCCTCTAGGTGCTCGCTCCGTTCCTGCTCGCCTCAGCAGAGGTAACGTTAGGAGGGACAGGCTCACGGGGGCGAAGACTCGAGGTTCGGGGTTCTCGTGCGTTTTCGTCGCTTCTCGTCGGCCTCCCAGCCTCGGGATGTCTGCAGCGGCTGCGCCTCGCGGGAAGCGTCCTGGGGGGTGCCCGAATCGTCCCGAGCGGCCGCCGGGGGCCCGAGGTGTGGCCCGAAAGCCGCGAGAGGGGTCAGGCTGCGGGGGGGGGGCCTCCTCCTCCTCCTCCTCCTCCTCCTCCTCCTCCTCCTCCTCCTCCTCCTCCTCCTCCTCCTCCTCCTCCTCCTCCTCCTCTCCCCATCGCCCACTCGTCGCCGATGGGGGCCCGGTGGCCCACTCCGCCCAGGAGCGTGCGGTCTCGCTGTCGGCGGCCTGTGAGCGGGTTCCCCTCCAGCGTTCCCGCTCCCTCACGCCTCGCTGCCATCCTCGACCCACCCATCGAGCACGCGGACCTGCCGCAGAGCGGGGGGCGACGGCGTCATGGCTGGCGTGAAAAATTGACGTCCTCTTTCTGCGTGTGTCTTCTTCTGCCTCGTCGGGGAAGCTAGGCCACTTCTCTGATGCCGTTCTGCTTTTCTGTTTTCTTTGACTCCGCAGTCGTGTATCCCTTTGATTGCATTGCCCTCGCTGCTGCGTCTCGGCATCATTGTACGCCCCTGCGTATACCTCTCGCTCTGCCTCTTGATCTTTTTTACCTGTCGAGTCTCTCTGCCTAGATATTTGTCTCGCTCTCTTTCCCGTCTCCCCCGTGCCCCGTCTCGGGCTTGGAAATACGGTCAGGAGCTTTGGCTTAGCGTGTCGCTCCGCGGGTTTGGCCCACCACGTTTCGGCACGACACCCTATCCACGTCCTGGTCCCCCAGCGTGGACGTCGCGAGCTTGTCGAAGCCTCCCCCGACCCGCGGAGCGGAGCGACACGCCATCCGCTTGTAAGGCATGGCGTGTCGCCTGGGCCGCCGCCGCGACACGTCAAGCAAACGTTCCCGACCGCATCACCAATAATGCACGATCTCCCGATGGGTCACCTCGGGAAGCACAGCCGTTCTTCTCCCAGCTATGCAGCGCTGTCTCGCCGACCGCGCCGGCAGGCGTCGCCGAGAGGCGCGCGGAGCTCGCGCACGGGCGCAGCTGGCGGGCGCAGCCTTCTCCTCCTCGTCCCCCTCCTCCTCCTCCTCCTCCTCCTCCTCCTCCTCCTCCTCCATCTCCTTCCCCCCTCCAACTTATGGTGGTGGTGGAAAACAGGCCCATCAGAAGAGAGGTGCGCCTTTTCGTGCACTTCAGGGGCCCCCATTGGGGGGCCCTCCGATGCCCCAAAGTGGCACGAATTGGCGCACGTTGCTTCGCCCCTCATCGTTTTTCTGTCGCCCTGCCACTATCAGGAGGGAAACAAAACACAGACACAATTCATCGTCGATCCCCCAGAAAATATGGGAAGTGGGGGGGAAGACTAAAACCCAGAACATATGGGAAAATATGGGGAATCCTGTTATTGGTGTCTATTTATTTGTGTGTCCCAGGGCCCCTTCACATTAAGCAACGCTCCAAGGGGGCGGGGGGGCGGGCGCTCTCCTCGTCCTCGCCCTGCTCCCTCGTGCCCGTCCTGCTCAGCGCGCGCACGGGCGCTGCTGGCCGTGGCCCCGGCCCGTTGAGCTCCTGGGGGTCACCAGTCGAATCCGAGGCCCAGACCCCCGCCCTCGAGAGCTTGGGGCTGTCTTTCCCCACTGTTGTTCAGGCCGTCGCTTGGTTCGGAGGTGGTGCACCTTGCGCTCGTATCTGCCCGTGTCTTGGTTTTCTGTCGCAAGTCCCTGGTGGTGCTGCGAGTGGGCCTCAATGTAGTTCGACCAAGTTGGGCATCGGATATACCGGCCGCCGCTGCTCGCATTGCTCTTCCAGGGCCAGGTGGCGAAAGTCCGATGTAGGTTTCCGCTGTTTCACGGACAAAATATGTGAGAGAGCGTGATCCACCGCCGCTTTACTGTGGAAAATTGCCAACCTTTTCCTCCGGAACCCGGGGGTCTCCCCCCCCCCCCCCCCTCCGAAAATCCCCCCCCCCCCTGCCGGAACCCCTCCCCCCCCCACCCCCCCCCCCCCCCCCTCTCCCCCGGCAAAACTCCCCCCCCCTCCCCTAACACCCCCCCCCCCCCACCCCCCCCCCCCCCCCCCCTCCCGCGGAAAACCGGGGGGGGTCACTACCGGTTCGAACCCCTCCCCCCCCCCCCCCCCCCCACCCTCCGGATCCGGAAAACTGGGGGGGCCACTACCGGTTCGCACCCCCCCCCCCCCCCCCCCCCCCCCTACTCACCGCCAGCAAACGACTCCCGGTCCCCACCACCGTCCGCATCACATCCCCCACTGGTGTTCCCAGCACCACTGTCCTCACCACCGCTGTCCCCACTGGTTCCACCACCGCCCCTACTGTCCCCACCAGTGGCCCCACCACTGTCGCACTGTCCCCGCTGTCCCCAGAACTGTTCCCACCACGGTTCCACTCTCCCCACTGTCTCCACGGCCCCAACCACTGCCCGACTATCCCCACTGTCCCCACTGTCCCACTGACTCCTCCGCTGTCCCACTGAGCTGTCCCACTGTTCCCACCACTGTCCCCACTGTCCCCACCACTGTCCCCACTGTACCTCTGTCCCATTGTCCCACCGCCGTCCTCGCCACCGCCTTCACCACTGTCCCCACCACCATTGTACCCTCCACTGTCCCACTGTTTCCACCTCATTCCCATTGTCCCCACACCACTGTCCCCACCACCACCGTCACCACCACTGTCCACTGTCCCCCCCTGTTCCCACCATTGTCCCCACCACTGTCCCCACCACTACCGTCCCCACCGCTGTCCCACTGTCCCACTGTCCCCACCACTGTCCCGCTATCCCCTCACCACTGTCCCCACCACTACCGTCCCCACCACTGTCCCACTGTCCCCCCACTGTCCCCACCACTGTCCCGCTGTCCCCTCACCACTGTCCCCACCAACACCGTCCCCACCACTGTCCGCACCCCCACTCGGTTTTCGAGGGGGGGGGGGGGGTTCGAACCGGTAGTGACCCCCCCCCCTTTTCATGATGAGCTGGGGGGGGGGGGAGGGGTTCGAACCGGTAGTGACCCCCCCCGGTTTTCCGGAGGGGGGGGGGGAGGGGTTCGAACCGGTAGTGACCCCCCCCGGTTTTCCGCCAGCAGCGGTAGAACACGCTCTTTCAAATATGTAATACACACGCGCTTTTGTAAAGATTAGTGGGTACTTTAGTAATGATGCTTTGGCATGTTCAACACATATTTATTTTCTATCTGATATTCGTGTTCTTTGCGGAGTCAGCCTTCAACTAGTCGCCGCCGTGGGATCTGGGGACGTCGTCGCCGCGGTAGGGCGCACGGTCACAAATAGCCGTGAGCTCAATTAGGGAGGGGGGCAAAGACGTGATTTGTGAGCGAACGGCGTGGAGATAGCCGAAAGTTTCGAGCGCGTTCGCAGACAGGGTTGAGTGCGCGGTCTGCGCGGCGACATCGCAGGCTTGCTCCACACGAGGGGGCGGAGTGAGACATACCTGCGCAGAGGAGTGTCAAGTTGCTTTCGAGGGGGGTTCGGGGCCTCGGATTGCATTGGCCGGGGTGGGGACGGGAGCCATGATATCTCCCCTGATCTCATGGCGCCTCTTCTCATGGCGCCCACATCGAAGAGCGGATTTCGTTCGGAAAACGATAGGGTGGGCCCGGGGGGTCCTGGAGAATTTCGTTCCGGATTTTGAGGTGAATTTCGTACGGATTTTTTGAGGCCAGGGATGAAGACTCACAAAACATCCACTTGAAATTCACTTCGTTTTTCGCTCGCCGCTTCGGGCAAACATCCACGCAGAGATCCGCGCAGAAATCCGCTGCAGCACGTCTGCAAGGCCTGTGCAATGACTATGACTCTTCTTCTTTCAGTGTGCCCCTGGCCCCCCCTGGGGCCGCGAATGTGCCTCGGGCCATGACTGCAGTGACCTCCGGCGAGTGCCGCCGATCCAGGGCGCTTCGGATGGTGCTCGGGCTCGCCTGGGGGCCCCCCTTGGGGCGCCCCCCTCTTGGACCCCCCGAGCGCCCGAGGGGCCGGCTGGAGCTCTCCTCGTCCTGCCCACTCCCCCTCCCGTGCTGTGCTGTGACCGAGCGCGACGGGGTGATGCGGTCCCCCGTCTCCTTTTCTGTATTGCGAACGGCCGGTGCCACCGACCCTGAATGGCGACGACGACGACGAGCTCTCTCGGGGGCCTCTTGGGGGTAGTTTGGGGGCCTCTTGGGAAGCTCCTGGGAGCCGCTTGGGAGCCTCGTGGGTGCCTCTTGAGGCTACCTGGGGGTCTCTGGGAGGTTCCTTCGGGCTTCTTGGGGTGCTTCTTAGGGGCCTCTAAGGGTTTCCTGAGAGCATCTGAGGCCGAGGGCTCGAAAATGTCTGTTCGGGTCCCCCCTCTGGGCTCCTCCTTGGAGCCGGCTTGGGGGTCTCTTCGGCTGTCTTTTGAGGCCTCCGTGTCGGTCATGGGGCCCTCTTGGGTCGTTTGGGAACTCTCTTGGAGGCCTCTTGGGCCATCTTGGGGCGGTCCTGGGGGCTTCTTGCCCTGTCTTGGATCGTCGGGGAGTTCACAAGGTGACAACGCCGAAACTTTTTCAAAACGTACGGAAAATCTGATTTTTGTTCCTGGAGGCCGTCTTGGAAGTCATATTGGAGGCTTCTGGGTGCGTTGTGGAAACCTCTTGTGCCGTCTGAAAGTTATTTGGCGACTTATACCGATAATTTGACGATGAGGAGCCCTGGGGGATCGTCTTGGGGACATCTTGGGGCAGTTTTGCCGCGTCCTGCGGCTTTTCTTGGCCGCCCAACCGCCCGAGGGGGGGTGGTATCTGCCCCGGGACCCCCCCTGGACCCCTCCCCCATGCAGGACCCCTCCGGGACCCCTCCCCCAGGACCCCTCCGGGACCCCCCCGGGACCCCTCCCAGGGACCCCTCCCCGGGACCCCCTCTGGGACCCCATGGGACCCTCCCCCCCCCCCGGCGGGGAAGGGATTAAAGGGAAGGGGCTTCCCTTCGACTCAACTACAACGTTGCTCAATGTCGCTGTGGCTGGCGCGCTCGAGGAGGAGAACCTGGTGCAAGTGGGGGAGCGGCGACGGGCCTCGGGAAAGGGGGGGAAGCGAGCGGCGAAGGCGACGACGACCACGACCACGACCACGACCACGACCACGACCACGACCACGACGACGACCACGACGACGACCACGACGACGACGAGTCAAACGGAGCAGCCTCTTCCACACGCCGACAGGGTCGGCGGATTTTGTGATGTGCAGGCTCGATCATGCAGAGTGTCTGATCTCCTCACTGCGTGGTTGCTCTTTTGGACCGACGGTGCGCCCTCGATCCAGATCCAGATCCAGATGCCCCCCCTCCGAACTCCTGGCGTCCCTGTCATTTTTTTCGCATTTCGCATTTCGCAATCATAACAGCCTCCACGGCGCGCGCGCCGGCGACCGCCGACGCGCGTTCCGCGGACGCTGCGGCTCAGAGCTGCCCGGCGTGAGCAGGTCGGAGTCGTGCAGCCGACCGGGGACAGGAGGTGGTCGCCCGCTCTCGCGCCCCGGGGCCCTCGCAGATCGATGCGCGCCCGAGAGATGGCGCGGAAGGCGTGGGCTCTGAGGCTCTGCATGGTCGTGGCTGCGGCCCGCGATGCCGCCTGTTGCCGCAGCGTCGGACCTCGGGTCCCTCCTCGCCCCCTCGCCGCCCCCCCCCAGCGCCCTCGAGCTGAGGCCTCGGCTGGGGGAGGAGGAGGAGGAGGAGGAGGAGGAGGAGGAGGAGGAGGAGGAGGAGGAGGAGGAGGAGGCCACGCAGCGCGGCTGGGCCGCTCGCGGAGGTTGTCGCAGGCCCAGAGGTTGACACCAACACCAATGTCGGCGGTGTTCCTCCACCGCGGGAAGGAGAGATCCCGATCTCGGTGATGGTGGTAATAGATTCTGGCTTCCAAGGTGACCGAACTATATTAGCACCGACACCGAAATCTAGGATCATCTCCCCCCGGTGGAGGCAGCCCCCTGTCTTGGTGTTGGTGCCAATTTCCAGGCCTCCAAGGTTGGGTTTCCTGGCACGTTGGTCGGTGGGGAACCCTGTGCCGCTGGTCGGTGCAGGGTCGTTCCTGTCAGCCTTCGTTGCTGGACGGCCCAGCGTTGTCCGCTCGAAGTGTCCGATCCCAACCTCCTCAGACGGCCCAGGAGTCCCTCAGCCTCCAGAGGAGTCTTCGAAGCCTTCCCCGAAGACAGAACACCTCTAAGAAGGCCGGAGGGCTTCTGAGGAACCCCGCCGCCTTCAGCGGGGGCATTCTCCTTCTCACCTCTCTCCCTCAGTCTTCGGCCTCCGGGGGCCCCTCGGCCCGGCCCCCGGAGGCCGTCGAGAGAGAACCGGCCCGGGAGAAGAGGCCGGTGCCCAGGGGGCCCGGCATGGTGGGGCGCGGGTCTCGAGAGGGAAGCGGGTCGTCAGGACCGCGGGTCTCGGAGCTCCGCGGGCTCCGCGCGGAGATCTTGGATCGGCGCTGACGCCCCCTCCCTGGCGCGCGGAGCGTGCCAGGGAGGGGGCGCCGGAGGCGCCGCCAGGGGGCCCCAGCAGCACCGAGCCAAGCAATCCGTGTGGAGCTTTTGAGCTTTTATGCTCATGCCGCTGTGCCCTCCTCGAGACTCGTCGCCGGTGCCCCGTGCTGGTGGAGGAAGCGGGCCCCGAGGAGGAGGAGTCCTGGACCCTGGGGCCTTCTCCCCCAGGACGAGCCCTTCATCGTGAATCGTTGTCTGACAGTCTCGTGGCCCGTGGAGGGCCCCGGGGGCCTGAAAGCGGGGAGAGGCCTCGGGGCCCGTTCGCCTCGAGGACCCGCTTCCCCACGGCGGTGGCCCATGGCCCTCTGGGGGTGCACGTCGTGGAGGGGCCACGGCGTCGGAGCTCCGGGTCGTCCGGCGTTCACCGCGAGTGGTCGGGCTTCGTCCGGAGGGGGGCGGGCGGCGCGGAGTCCGTTGTCCACGTGCTGCCCGTCGAGCAGCCCGGACGGTTCGCCGCCGCCTCTGCAGCCGAACGGGCCTCGAGACCCGCGGCGGGCGGTGAGCAATCCCGGGTTTCGCGAGGGCGGGTCGGGCCCATGGCCTCCCTCAACGCCGTGTCCACGTACAAGACCGCGCCCAAGTTCTCCTTCCCGCACAGCGGTGGGGCGGCGAGCGGCGCGGCGCGTGTCGGACTGGTCGAAACGTGTTCCCTCTCCCTCTCCGCACGCTTGCTCTCCCCCTGCGCTTGCTGTGCCCAAGTAAGTCGGCCCCGTTGCATCCCACGGCTGCCCCCCAGCGCGGTGAGGACTCTCTCAGAAGAGGAACTGGTACCCCTACCCCTACCCTCGCCTCGTTTTCCCCTTTTAGGGCCTCCTGGGCGGCCCTCGTCCCCACCGCTGGATTCGCCTCGAAATTCTGGTCAGAACGCACCCTGGGAGAGGTCCGGGGAGTAGCGGTATCGGTACCTTTTGATGCCCCCTGTCTCGTCGGACTGGGCTGGGACGAGGAAAAGTCTGGTCCAGAGCGTTCGGGAACGCTCTGAAAGCGTTCCGGAACGCTCTGAGGAGGCCGCGGCGCTCGAGACATCCTCCAGAGCCACAGTATCTCATAGATTCTCGACGTATCCTCACCAGAAGTTGTCCTCGTCCTGGCTTCGTCTTAGGTGGGGCCTCGCCGCTGCGACAAAACGATCGGCGGTGTCGTCGTCGATGGTGCTGTCTGTCGGCGCGGCTTTTGAGGCGCGCCCTGGGACATCGAGGATGGGCAACTTGCCCAAAGGGTACCCTTGCATCCTTGCCTCCTCGGTCCATCCTAAGCCCCTTTCGATGTCCAGCCCCTCTCGACAAGGTTCGGTATGGGCGCCCAAGGGGCTTGCATCCTCATCGCGAGCATCCTTACTATCAGCTTTGACTGTGCAACAAAGACGCCGGAATGACGGCCACTGGGACCAGGAGGGGCTCTGGTTTTCGGGCCGTTCTTCGAACCTTTGGTCGGGGAGCCTATACTCGAAGCCTATAAACAGAAGCGCCACCTCCCTGCCTCCTCCGGCGCTCCTCATGGCACAGCACCACGGCTGCAGGGAGGGGTGGGCTTTGCTCGGGGCGGGCTCTGCTTTGGGGGGCTGGGCGAGGGGCGGGGCCTCCGGGGAAACGGGGCGCAGAGGCCCGGCAGCGCGGGCCTTCGGGAGGAGGGGCTGGCCCCGCTGGCCCTCAGAGCGAGGGCTGCGGACCAGCCAGAGGAGGGCGGGGTGCCCACCAGCCGCTACCCCTCGCCCGTTGTCTCCTCCTTCTGCCTCCCGGGAAGGCCCTCGTCGCCACCGCTGGGTTCGCCTCGAAGTCCTGGTCAGACCGTGCCTCCGGAGAGGTCTGGCCCCGGGGGCCGTCGGGGAGACCCACGGAGGGGTCGTGCCATAGGCGTGCCGCCGGGCACGGCCGCGCAAGCGACCTCGTGCAGCAGCACCGTGAAAATTCGGGGAACTGACAACGGCATGAACAAAACAACTCGGAGGTCCGCGCGGATTTCTCGGATCGGCGCTGGACCCCCAGCGCGCCAGGGACGGCGCCAGGGGCGGCGCCGGGGTTAAGTCGGGCGTACCCCTCTACAGGAGGAATATTCAAGAATAGTAGGAAATAGTCTGGGGATGATTTTTGGATTATTTTCGTACTATTTTAGACTATTGTTGGACTATTTTGCATTTTTCGCCCAACATCCGCCTGTAGGGGGACATGCCCGACCTAACGCCAGGGGGCCCCAGCGCCGATCGAAGAAATCCGCGTGGACCTCCGAGTTGTATTGTTATTCCAGTGCTCGCCCTCCTGAAAACGCATGGAAGCAAGGAGGGAAGGTGAGCACCAGAAGTGCTCTCTCTGGCCTTCTGAGAAGCCGTCTCGGACGCCTCTGCCCCTCTCAGAGTCGGACGGTGCCAGGACGAGGATAAATCTGGTCCAGAGGGTTCGGGAACGCTCTGAGAAGGCCGCGGCGTCCGAGACATCCTCCAGAGCCACCGGATCTCACAGATTCTCGACCTGTCTTTGTCCGAAGTTGCCCTCGTTCGTCTTACAGGAGGCCGCCCCCCCCCCCCTGGCCCTGCCCACCTCGGGCGCGCCGTCAAGCGCGGGGCAGTCTTGTGGAGGCGCGGGTGCGGCCGCGCACGCGCCTGTCACGGAAGGGTGCAGTTGCAGTGACTTGGCGCTTCCCAGCAGGAGCGGCAGCACCCAGACAACCAAAAAAAGCAAGAGCGCAAGGGAGGGCAGATGAGCACCTGGCAGGTGCCTTCTTTTCTATTCCCCATCAGCTTCGTGGTGCCTTGACCGTCCCTCTCTGCAGCCCTGGCCGCCGTGCAAAGGGGCGGCAGGCATTGGAGCGGAAGCGCCGAAGCGGGGACCCGAGCCCGGCACGTACAACATTGTGGGCGTGGACAAGGTGCGAGGGCCAGGGGGCTGCCCTTTTTGGGGGGTGGCTCGGCAGAGGCTAGCCGGTGCGGTTGGTTGCAGGAGGACTGCGCAGAGGGAGGGAGTCCGTTGAGCGCAGGAAGTCGGCGGCGGAGTCCGAAATCTACACTCGCCGATCCACGATTCAGGCAACTCAATGGGCGGCTGGTGCAGGGTTCGAAATTCGCAAAACACGTGGCGTAATCCGAATCCCAATCTTGCCTCCCATCTATTCAGAAGAATCGATGGTTGGGGGGGGTAGGGCTCGGATGCCGCTACCTAGTGCGGGTAGGGAGGGAGGGAAAGGGAGAAGGGAGCGGAGGACAGGTGCGAGGATGATGAGGCAGGGGGGCTGGCGGCAAGCGAGTGGGAGGGGGAGCGCAAGAAGGGGCTCTACAGATGGTGGCTCCCCAAGAGAGGCTGGCGGTCTGTGCCTAGACATCATGCCTGGATATGAGGCGTTCCAGAAAGGCTTTCGCCTTTCTGGAACGCCTCATCGGTCGGCCTCAGCCCAGGAACACTCCCAGGCCCTGTGGAAACTAGAATCAGGAGCACCGCATTTAGGCCACAGACCTTGGGTCTCGTATCCCCAGTGTTTTAAAGTAAGGCCAGTGGGACATCGGCCTGTGAAAACCTGCTCCAATATCCTCTTGACACTCTTTGGAAAGGACTTACTCGCCAGCAGTCGACGCGGGCCCAGGGACCAAAGGCTTCGGTCCCGTATCTCCTTGGCCCGAGGATCCCGAGTCTGGGAAAACGCCCTAAGTATTGCTGGCTTAATCAGCTGTTTTTTGTCATCACCTGCCTCGCGCAGCCACAGGTGCATGTCGAACAGCGGCCCCGAGAGTTTGCGCATTCAGGATGACGACCGCGGTATATTGTCCAGCTGCTGTTGTGTGAGGTGGAAGGCGCGTTGGAGCTCCTCCTCACTGAGGCCATCTGCTTGAATCAGATCTGGATCTGATGCCTGCCACCATTCCTTTGCATATCTCTTGAACGTGTCAACTGCTCTTGCCGCTGGATCTCTGTCTGTATGGAGTGACCAGGCCGCAGAATGCCACCTGCAATGCCGAGTGCTCGAGCTCCCGCTTGCCGCAGACTTTTGATCTCAATTGGCGACCATCCCAAGACTTCTCCACCGTAGGTCGCACAAGCTTGGAACCCCGAGAAGAAGATGCGTGCTCGTTTATGCGCATGGCCCTTCATACCTTTCAGACGTCGAAGGCGAAGCTTCATCGTTTGCAACCTTTTGCGGCGAACTCTACCATGTCCTGGCCGTCGGCGGTGTCAGCCTGGCGCATAATCAACTCCAAGGTTTCGAACTGCAATCTCTGATCGCCCCGCACGTTGACCTAATGAGGCCAAACATGCATCAGTTATTTCCGTCGACGAGCCCGTGCAGCATATCTTCTTCTGAGTCAGTGGTGCACCAAGTACCTGATCCACCAGTCGTGCCAGGCACGTGACTCTGTCGTACATTGCCTGGACACGCGTATGGAAGCTCTTGGAGTCCACATTCAAACCTAGATCATCCATGTGCATTGTGAGAGTGGCCAGTCCAACTTCGGGTAGTCTCTCTTCAGTTGGTCCTTGATGCCACAAGTTGACAGCTGGAGTGACAACCATTCTTGCTTCATAAGTTGCAGTCCCAGTGCCAGCTATGATTCCTCTCCCTGCGAAGATGGTGTCTGTGACAAGTCCATCAAGTGGTATTCTGCGTGGCCAGAAGTATGTACTCCAAGAGTGTTGAATAACTGAAGCGGGGTACTCCATCTCAAAGGCTGCCTTCCATAATTGGCCATGGCACACATGCTCGTAAAATCGTTTGAGATCATATAGTACCGAGGGAAGATGATATCCGTCATGTGCAAGGGCCTCCCCTCGAGCTGCTTGTCGCCATACTGCGTCCAGGGGTCCACGCCCTGGCGCCATGCTAAAGGATGGATGTTGACCTTCAGCTCGCTCCCATTTCCTCGCTTCCCATGCCATCGTTTTGCCGTGTAGCCGAACTGCACTAGTGAAGAAGCCGATGGGTCTCCTTCCAGACTCTGGCTTGCAAAACTGCTGCAACATAACCTGCTTGAGGTTGCTGGGAGCGTAAGAAATCATGGTCATGATCGTAAAGACGCCCGAGAGAGCGGATAGGGCTGGTACACATAATAGAGAGAAACGCTTTGGGTGTAGCCCATCAACTGCTATGGTTCGCGCCTTGAACTTATATGATCTTCTTTTCAATATCTCTGGGCCCACTCTGGGCAGTACAATAACTTTCGCCTCCAAGAACTGGCTGGGCTGATCTTGCGCAAGCCAAGCCTTCTGCCACATGGCTTCCGGTTGTTCAAGAACGCCGTCCAAGGATGCTGTGACCGTTCCGTCTGCACGCGTATAAGTTTCTTCTACATGCTATTGAGGTAGCTGAGTGTAGGCATGTGTTCCTCCAGCTCTTCCCTCCAGTGCTTCTTCACACCACGCGGTCCATTCTTCTCGCTGCTTCTTCTTCGCTGTGAGGATTGTTGTTTCTCGGCCAGGGTAAGAAATTCGATCCACGCTGAAGCATCTCCCTCCAGCTCCTCATCTAGTTTCTCTTGTTGTCATTGACAAACCGCTTGATAATATAATCTAGAATGAACTGCCAAGATGGGCCTACCAAGCTAAGATGCTTACGGAGAGGGCCACCTCGTTGTTGTAGTCGCCGTGTTTTGCGCAGCAAATTCCAATAATATTCAGCATTGGCTCCTGAGGAGGTTACCTGTCGGCGCAGAAAACGTAGCTCCTGCAGCGTGGATCGCATCCAGTGCAGCGCCGACCCTGGGAGGGGCCTGGTGCTCTCTTTGGTCGATAGGCTTTGCCGAAGGGGCCTCTTTGTGGTCCTAATTGGGGCTCCTCCATGGGTTTGTTTGGGGTGGGGCGTCGTCTGTGTGACTTGTTGGAGTTCTGTCCACGCTTTTGTCACCCACTCCTGATAAGTGCTGTCGAGAAAGCCCTGCCCCTCCTGCCGCTGCTGCCCGACGACGCTGCTGATATCCCCATCCTCGTTAATGTGGCGGGCAATATACTCGTCAACCTGGGCGTTGATTCTGGCGTAGTCTGGGGGCTCCACAGGCGGTCCTATACCTGGCTTTGCAGGAAGGGTGGCATGTCGAACTCGAACCTGGACCTGGACGTTTTTCGTCAGGCGTCGAACCCGAGCTGCTACTGATCTGTGGGGTCCTGGTACTACTGGATTGGCTACTTCTACTTCTGCATCAGCTGTTAGTGTATCCAGAGCTCGGGTAATCAGGTAGTAGTCGATATGACTTGACCCTTTATCCCCATCGTATCTATATATATATATATATATATATATGTGACGGCGTGGTCTGATCAAACCTATATGTTCTATGCAATATATTCATCTGTACTCCAGCTCTCAATTCGCCTGGTTCCATGTTCCAGTCCCCTCCAGCTATATACGGGATACCTCTATCAAGTAAGTGTTCACCTAAAGTCTGGTCTCCTCCTCCTCCTCCTCCTCCTCCTCTTCCGTCCTCTTCCGTCCTCATCCCTCCCTTCCTCCCTCGTTCCTTTATCCCTTCCGCTCTCTCTCCCTCCTCCCTCCTCCTTTTCTTGCTCTGTTCTTCCTCCCTCCTCTCTCCTGTTTTTCCCTTTTCCTCCTCCAGCCTGCCTGCCTGCCTGCCTGCCTGACAGCCTGAATGCATTCTGCCTGCATGCGTGCCTGCCTGCCTGCCTGCCGGGCCTTCTCCCTCCTCCTCCTCCTCCTCCTCTTCCTCCTCCTCCTCGTCCTTTCTCCTCCTCCTCCCCCTCCTCCTCCTCCTCCTCCTCCTCCTCGTCCCTCCTGTGACCCTCGCCCGACTTGGCCCCAGACGGGGGCCTCAGCTGGCCGCCAGCAGTGGGTTCAGCTCCCGGAGGAAGCTGTCAGCGCCGTGGACGAGACGATTCGACCTCGCCCCCCGCTGTTGCTGCCTGGTCCGCCTCTGTCCTCGCCTTCGTTGCAGCGCGGCGGGAGGAGTGAGGGGGGCGGGGGAGGAAGGTGGGAGTGAAGGGGGGGCAGGAGCAGGGAGGAGCGAGCAGGCAGGATGGAGGAGGGAGGAGAGAGTGGAGGGGGGAGAGAACCAGGGAGGAACGAGGATGGAGGCGGGAGGAGGGAGGAGGGAGTGAAACGGGGAACGAGGGGGGGGGGAAAGGGGGGAACGAGGGGGGGGAGGTGGGGGGAGGTTGGTCCCCCCGCCTCCCTCACCGAGAGATGACCGACTCTTCTCCTTTGGCGCACACCTCGGAAGGGTGATCCCGCGCACCCCATTCAGGGCGCCGGGCGGGCGGGCACGATCGCGCCCGAGCAGACAGCTGCGCGGCGCGCGGGTGCCGAGGGGAGGGGGGATCCCACTGGTGAGTCCGAGAGACCAGCAGGAGGAGGGAGAGACGGGGGCGAGGAGCAGGGAGGAGCGGGGAGGGAGGACGGAGGAGGGAGAGCTGAGAGAAGTGCCTTCGCCTCGGCGCCTCCGCTCGGCGGGAGGACAAGTTCTCGAGGTCGGCCTCGTACTCGATACTGGGCGCGAGCAAAGTGGGCGGCGCCGCCTCCGTGGTCGCGCGCTGCCCCTCGCCTGTCGCCGGCCCCCACCCCCCCTCGTGGTGGACGTCGTCGTCGTCCGAGGAAGATCGGCCACGCGCAGGGGGGGCTACGGTCGGAGGTTTATGGACCTCCTACCCTAACACGTCGATCAGCGAATTGGCCGTTTTCGGTTCGCGAGAGGGTGTCGCTGCCGTCATTTTTGCCGGTCCAGGTCCGTCGGTTTCGATCCTAGGCCGTTTTCACTAAAGAGTGGTTTACTAAAGGGAGGTTTGTCCACCGCCGATATGGTGGAGGGGGGGAGGCGTCTTAGAAGCACCCCTGCTTCGCGGGCCTTGTGTATAGATACAAGGCCGGCGCCTTCTGAGAAGTAGCTTCCTTCCAAGAAGCCTTCCCCCCTCCCCCTGCCCCCTCATGCGCGCCGCCAAGAAGAGCGAACTGCGCAGACTGCCAAGAAGCTGAAGTAAGCACCATGTTGTGCTCGTGGGTCGGGGAAACGTAAGCCTCGAGAGCGCCAGAACTCGGGTTCGCATGCGCTTTTTGACGAGCCCGCCCTTGATTTCGACGGCCCAGTTTTCGTGGGATGTCTGCAGTGGGAGCTTGCGTCGAATTTCAGAATGGGCCTCGCCATTTTCCCGATGGCCACGTCCGGCCGGCCCGAGCCCCCCGGGCCCGAGTCTTGCGCCTCCCCGAGGGAGGAGTCCTGGTTCTCGGGCCGTGCTTTGGATTTGGGTCTGGGGCGCTGTTCGCGGCCGAGGAGGAGGAGGAGGAGGAGGAGGAGGAGGAGGAGGAGGAGGAGGAGGAGGAGGAGGGGGAGGGGGAGGAGGAGGAGGAGGAGGAGGAGGAGGAGGAGGAGGAGGAGGAGGAGGAGGACGGCTCGCCGTGGCCACAGAAGCCCCTGGGTGCCCGATTCAGCGTTCGAGCGCTCCTGCAGGTAGCATTTGGAGCCCCGCGCGGATTCCTCGGATCTGCGCTGGGCCTCCCTGGCGGCGTCTCCAGCGCCGGCCCAAGGAATCCTCCGGAGAACTATGTTAATGCAGTTCTTTGCTGCTGCATTGGTGACCGTCGTCGTCGTCGTCGTCGTCGTCGTCGTCGTCGTCGTCGTCGTCGTCGTCGTCGTCTTCGTCGTCCTCGTGTGGAGCAGGCTAGCTTCCGGTAGTGGACGTGGAGATTGGCCGCGTCGACCACGAACGAATTTTCCAGTTTTGCGACTTCAGTACAAGCTGCATCTCTGCATATCCAGATTTCGCTTCAGTTCGGTCCTTGGGCCGGTAGGAAACAGGGAAACAAGTCGTCACCCGAGCAGGCCTTGGGGGTGGTGATCAGAGGAAGAGCAGACACCTTATGAGGAACATCCTGGAGGCTTCGCGCGGCGCGCAACAGTTGCATTATCTGGTCGGCACGTCCGCCCCGTCAGATATGGGACGACGTTCGCGCAGCGATGTTCGAACCTGAGTCCGACGCGAATCCGACGTACATCCGACGTAATCCGACGTGATCCCGACGTAAATCAGACGACGTAAATTGGGCCTCAAGGGGCCGCACTAGCCTCCAGGATGTTCCTCATCAGACCCCGATATCGCTGCCCGCCCCTCGCTGCCAGGGCTGGACTTCGCCAAGAAGCCATGATCAGAACGCACCGAGGGGAGAGACACAGGGAGAAGCAGCACTGGTATATCTTTCCGTCCCCCCTGTGAAGGCCGAGCTGGTGCCCTCCTCCTCCCTCTTGCCCTCTGCGGCCGCTCCTCCTCCCGCGGGTCTTCTCTTGCAGCCGGACAATTACAGTCAACCCGCGTAATGAGGATGAGCAAGTCTCCAAGGGTACCCCCTTGTATCCTTACCCCTTCGGCCCGTCCTTGGCCGCTCCCGCTGGCCGCTCCCCGCTCGCCAAGCGTCAGCACGGCCTCTCCTCGAGGCCCTTGCATCCTTGTCGTGCGCCCTTCTTGCACGGGCTGACGGCAATGAGCCACGAGTCCTGGACAACTCGAGCGCCCGTGGTGACGGCCTAGCTATCACGGCAGTGGCTCCCCGTCGAGGCTTCCACAAGCTGCAGAGTAGTCGCGCCATCGCCCGAAACCTCTTCACAGCTGGCTCCGGAGCCGCGCCCTTGATGCTGCCCCGTTTTCAAGCGCCCAGGCTTCCAATCTGCACGACAGGCCTTCTCCCTCCCCACACCTTTCCCACCTTTCCCACTTCTTTTCCTCCTGTCCCCTTCCTGTTCCTCCTCCTCCTCCTCCTCCCGCTCCCCGACTGATTTAGGGGCCGAGTTCTACGTTCGCATGCTTTCTGAATGTTTGTCGGGGTTTACCCTGGGGCTGGCATCAAGAAACGCCTTACAGTAGTCAGGGCGAGGGAGGGATGGTTCGCGATCAAGCCAGGTCGAAAGGTCTTCGATCGTCGTAGTCGCCGTCCTCGTTGCCGTCGCCGTCGCTGTCGCTGTCTCCCCCTTCCTCCCCCCCAAACCTCTCAGGCTCCTTCGCGTTCCCCGCCCCAGCGCCCCCCCAGACCACTGCCACCCCAAGCGAGGGAGATTGGAGGCGAGATGGACGAGCAGGAGGAGGAGGTGGGGGCGGTGTTTCAATGTAGGACACCGAGTTGCTGTGCAACCGCTGCCGTTCGGCTCAAGATCTATAGCCGCCATTTAGCGGTGAGTGTATTTTCAGCGGTGACCGCCTACTGCAGAGCAGAGCCTTTTGTTCGCCACGGCTGTTATGTTAAACTTGCGTGGTAGAGGAACGAGGGTATAGCAACGAGGACAGGTGCAGTGAGACCTACTTCACGACAGGAATTGATTGTGTACAACCTTGCCAGCTTAGGACTTGATTGCTTTACCACGTATAACCGATGTGATTGTGAGTTCGTGAAAGAGCTGGCCATCAGGCGAACCTTGGCGCGATGACGAACTACTTTGGCGATTCAACGTATCGGGTACGCAAGAGTTGTCCACCGAACACGCAGTGTCACGAAATGGAGGTTAGGAAGATGGAATGCAGCATTACTGAGCATCGTCCGTCGCGTGGCGGGGACCACGCAAGCGAAGATGCGACTGGCCGAATTGGAAAAATAGCCAGGGAACAAATGAACGCCACTGTGATTCTCGCCCAGATAGCTAAAAAGGTAGGACCCACCGCAAGCAAAACCCACGGAAGGCCCGAGAGTAAATCGAAGGCAGTCATCACCGAAAAGCTTCAACGCAGACCGGAACAAGTTTCGGGAACGCAGCGACAGGCTTCTGAACGGACTGGCGCAAGTCGGCATTGGGAGCCGCGAGGCTCTCACTTGTTTGAATTCAGTAATGAAATCAATGGGTGGGGGTGTGCCAGACCCTACCGAGGAAGGCGATAAAACGAGAATGATGAGTGGGAACATGAGTACAACAAAGCAGCAGCTGAGAAGAAGCGCGAAGAAGACGAACGCGAACATGACTGCGTTCTGGACGAGAGTGCAATTTACCAATTGCACGGAAACGCATGGCGCATTCGAACCATAAAAGTGGAAAGTACGGGGCAAGCTGCCCTGCGGTAATAAGGTTGAAAGGCTGATCGCCTACGTGGAGCTATGTAAATGGTGCTTTGCCGAAATATAGGGGTATCGCGATCGGCTAAGGTGAGCTCATGCATGAAACCCTGCCAGCCCAAGAAGATACGTGGCACATGCGTCCAGCTCGAGCAATGAAGCGCGCTGGTAGAAAAACGCGACATCTAAGACGAAGCAGATGATCACCCTTGCCGTTTAAGATAACAGTTCAAACATTCGTTACGACACGCGCCGAGGAGAAGTTCGACGACTGGCAGCAATATTGCGCTCTTTCACCCGATTCCCTAAATGGCGAATCGTGCCAGAAGCTCTATGTTCGATGCGAGGACTGGCCTCGGAAACAAGGACTGGATGCCGACGCAAAGAACAGCGATGCGATGGGCATCGGGGGTGCAGGCAGTGAAGGAGAGCGCCCAGGGCCAGGGGCGCACCGGGGAAGTCATCGCGGATTGTGTGACGAAGAGGGCAGCTGGTGGCCCCTGGGCGAAAAAGGCAATATAGGCTGCAATGACGACCCAGGCCAGGGTGAAAGAGACGTGGGTGCAGCCAATTAAATGTTGAAGTAATGGAAGGGCCATGTGCTGCACGTGCAGCAGACTGGGACGCGTGTCTAGCGGTTTCCAGAGGCAATGGCACAGGCAAGAGCAGCAGCATAGGGGAAGGAAGCCCAGGCTGGCATCACTGCTACTCCACGGGTAACTGCGGCAAGTGCAGGGGAGCTGTTCAGCAATCTGGGCAACCAGCGTGCAAAGCAGGCGGCAAGGGACCAGGCAACCATGGGGTGAACCAGGCGGTGGATTCGGAATCGTCGGGGGCCGGCCTCGGGCTCGCAGGGGGTCAGGGATGCGACAGGGGCGGGCAGGGGGCCGGTGGGAGGACGGGGGAGGGAGAGGGAGGGAGACAAACGTGTGGGGGGAGGCGTGGAGGAAGGCGGCGGTGGAGTGAGGGAGGCCTCAGTCATGGAGGACGCCGCATCCTTCCCTCTCCTCCCCCTCTCCCGAGAGCGCCCGCCAGCCTCGCCTCTCGCGTGCACTTTTTGTGTCGCGCCCTCCATCCTGCACGCTGCACGATGTCTCCCTTTCGCCCCCCCTCCTTGCGATTCCGAAGGCCACGACGGGCTCGCGCTTGACCAAAACGCAATTCTAGTTTTTCTGAGACAAATGCAGCTCTCCCCTCCCAGCGGCATTCACTCGAACCCAGCGTGTTGTTTGCCAGAACATGTCCGAATCAAGAAGAGGAGTCTGGGTGGTGGTTGAGGAGGTGGGAGAGGATGATGAGGAGGAGTCCGAGTATGAGGAGGAGGAGGACGACGAGTGTAGTGATGATGACGATGCTGATGGTGATGCTGATGGTGATGTTGATGTTGACGATGATGATGATGATGATGATGATGATGATGATGATGATGATGATGATGATGATGATGATGATGATGATGATGATGATGCTGATGCTGATGCTGATGCTGATGCTGATGCTGATGCTGATGCTGATGATGCTGATGATTCCCAAATTTGAGTGGGTCAATATGGCAAACGCGACCGCGGTCCTCTTTGCAACAAATCTTTGGAAATATCCAGGACAATATCCAAGCTGAGTTTGGCCATTTTCAGAATATTTGGAACATTCCCAGCTCAGAAAATATCTGGGGAAATCTTCGGAAAATTTCCGGGCTCAGACAATCTCCCGGGAAATCTCCAGACAATCTCCAGGTTTTAGAAATCTCCAAAAAATCTCGGGCGATATGTTTTTAGACCTTTCCCAACCATCCTGTGATGTTGGCCTTCGCTTTGAAGAGACGGTCCCCGCGTTCTCCTCCCCCCTTCTTTCCTTCCTTCCTCCTCCCTCCTCCTCCCTCCTCCCTGCGTTTCACCCACCCAGTACAGCGCTTCGTAGCCCCATAGGGAGCTCCACCGAAGGCTCCAGTGGGACCGCCCGCATGCGTCACCCACCGCCCAGTACAGCGTTTCGTGGCCCCATAGGGAGTTCCACCGAAGGCCCCAGTGGGACCGCCCGCATGCGTCATCCACCACACAGTACAGCGCTTCGTGGCCCCATAGGTAGTGCGCTACACCGAAGGCCCCAGTGAGGCCGCCCGCATGCGTCATCCACCAGCCAGTACAGCGCTTCGTGGTCCCATTGGGAACACCACCGAACGCCCCAGTGGGACCGCCCGCATGCGTCATCCACCACCCAACACAGCACTTCGTGGCTCCATAGAGGGCTCCACCGAAGGCTTCAGCGGGACAGCCCGCATGCGTCATCCAACACCCAGTACAGCGCTTCGTGGCCCCATAGAGGGTTCCACCGAAGGCCCCAGTGGGGCCGCCCGCGTGCGCCATCACCCAATACAGCGCTTCGTGGCCCCATAGGCGGCTCCACCGAATGCCCAGTGGGGCCGCCCGCATGCGTCACCCACCACCCAGCACAGCATGTCGTGGCCTCATAGGGAGCCCCACCGAAGGCTCCAGTGGACCGCCCGCGTGCGTCACCTACCATCCAGTACAGCGCTTCGTGGTTCGCATGGCGGCGATTTTCGATATTCGGAGGTTTTCCGTGGTATTCGACGTGTTGAGGCCGCTTTCGGGCCGCGCATCCCGGGCGGGAGCCAGCCTGCTCGCTCTCCCTGTTCCGCGCAGCGGACGACCCGCGCGCGTCGCCGGGACCCCTTCGGAGCGACCAGCGCGCGTCGCGGGGACTCCGTGCGGCGCCGCGCCCGCAGCCTTGGACGTGGGCGTGCACGGGCAAAGAGGGAGAAGAAGAACGGGAAGGAAACGGGCGCCATCCTCGTGAGAGGCGTGCCGACATGGGCGTCGACATTTATGCAGAACTGCTGGCTCTCAGTCTCTCGCGCACAGACCTAGCGTCTTCGCTCGCGATGTGCGCCCCGCCACGCATGTCCGCACGCCACTCACACGGTTCGTGGCCCCATAGAGAACGCGGGCGAAGATGAGCTTCATAATTGCGGTATTCACAACTGCATATGGTTGGGTTCCTCGCCAGGGAAAGTTTGGCACATGTTTTGAAGATTTGTCTGGGCGTTCGCAAGGCGTGAAGATTTGTTGCAGATGTTTTAAATATTGTTTGAGATTCGTAAGGCGAGAAGATTTGTTGGAGATTTTTTGGGGTTTTTTAGGCGCGGAGACGGTTTGGGGATTTCGTCTGCGTTTCTTTTGGGGCGCGAAGATTATTCGGATATTCGCCTGTAGATTTGTGGGGGGTTGGAGATTGCAGAAAAGTCGCGGGAAAATGTTTGGAATATTTTGGGGCGGTCGAGTTTGCCATGATCGACCCGGCCGAAGTAAAATGGTGACGATGTTGATGAGGATGATGCGGATGATGATGACGATGGCGATGACGATGATGATGAGGAGGAGGAGGAGGAGGGGGAGGAGGAGGAGGGGAAGGTGAGGATGAACGGGGGAGGAACTCTCCAATCCCTGCCTGTCCTTCATCATCGTCGCCCTCCCCCCCCGCCGCGCTCGAGACCCGCTGGAAATCAATCCCCCGACGCTTTTTCCCGGGGTCACAGTGGCGACGAGAACCTCCCGAAACCGCCCCCCCGCACCACCAAAACCTCCCCGTCCCTCTTCCCCGCGTGCGCGTTGGAGCGCGTGCGGGGAAGGGGGGCGACAAAGGCTCGTCCTCCTCCTCCTCCGCCTTTTTCCTCCTCCCATTCCTCCTCACGAAGGAGGAGGAGCAGGGGGAGGAGGAGGAACAGGAGGAGGACGAGTTGGAGGAGGAAAGGGGGAAGGGAACAGGAAAAGGCAGGAGGAGGCAGGAGGCAGGAACAGGCAGGAACCTGGAAAGGGGGGGGGCCCAGAAAAAAAACACGTCATGTTTGTTCGCGACGTGGACCCAGAGGTTTTGTTTTTTAGCCCAGGTTGGGTTTTGATTGCCCCGGCATTCGGTAAGGGCCCCAAGACGCCCAGAAATCAGAATGTGTCAACCACCTTGCGCCGTTGTTTTTTGTTCATTGCGCGTGCAGGGAGAAGGGGAAAGGAGAAGGAGGAGGAGGAGGAGGAGCAGGAGGAGGTGGAGGAGGACAAGGAGGAGGAGGAGGAGGCGGAGGCGGAGGCGGAGGCGGCGGCGGAGGAGGAGGAGGAGGAGGAGGAGGAGGAGGCGGAGGAGGAGGAGGAGGCGGACGGGGAGGAGAAGGACGAGGGGAAGGAGGAGGAGGAGGCGGAGGGGGAGGAGGACCTTCGTAAACCCAAGACAGCAAGACATACCAACGAGATTGCAATACACGCTCCCTCCTAGCTTCCTCTTCATAGGCTCCATACAAGGGATCATCTTTACTGAGGGAAGTGTTCCTCTGGAAGACAATCGTTTGAACATCCGGAACTGTACTAGAACACAATTTCTGGGATGTCAACGCTGCGAATCCTTGTTATTGCTGCGTGTTGACGATCCTCAATTGTGCCAGAACGTCATCCCTGGGGCGTCAGCACCGTGAAACCATGTACTTGCTGCGCCCTGGCAGCCCAACATCGTGCCAAAACGGAATTCTTGGGACGTTAGCCGTGGGAGCCCTTGAAGCTGATGTAAACTCTTAAAACGAATGTCGACGGCGGTACGGGGAGCCACATGCTGGAAAGGAACGGCCCTCCATCCGTGAAGCTTTTTTTGCCATTCGTTTGAGACGGGTGCGCTCAGCGCTAAGGCGAGAGCCTCATTTTGAAGATTGCCCGCCTTTTGTGCGTGTGTGTGTGTGTGTGTGTGTGTGTGAAGCTGCTGCAGTTGTTCAAGACGAAGATGCGCTATGCTAAGGCGAGAGCCACATTTTGAAATCGGCCCGCCCTCAATCCGTGAGATTCTTGCAAATTTAAAGCTATAGTGCCCTACGTGGTGAAGAAATGAAGAAGTCTCAGGCGAAACGCCCGGTCCGCCCTACGGGCACCTCTCGGGGGGCGACAGGGAGGAAAGGAGAAGAAAGAGGAGGAGGAGGAGGAGGAGGAGGAGGAGGAGGAGGAGGAGGCGGACGGGGAGGAGCAGCAGGAGGAGGAGGCGGAGGGGGAGGAAGAGGAGGAGGAGGAGGAGGAGGAGGAGGAACAGGAGGAGGAGCAGGAGGAGGAGCAGGAGGAGGAGGAGGAGGAGGAGGGGGCTCTCGCCGCTGCGTTCGGTCCGCCCCTCCCGTGCCCAGGGTATGATGAGCAAGAACCCTGGGCCTGGCGCGTACGCCCCGAAGGACCACAAGTCCATGAACCCCCCCAAGTGGGCGTTCGGAAGCGAGGAGCCCTGGCTGCTGCTGATGCCCCATCCCTCCTCTGCCTCCTCATCCTCCTCGGCCTCCTCCTCCTCCTTTTCCGCCTCCTCCTTTTTCTCCTCCTCCTCCTCCTCCGACTCCTCTCTCCTACTAATTCCAAATGCTGAATATACGTGCTCTCCTCTCCCCTGACGCTGATCCGCAATATGCTCGGTCCTCTCTGCGTATTGCTCCTGGTGGTTAAAGATGCAGGATTCTAACCGTCTTTTCCTGATCATGCTTGTACGATCCGATTGCTTGAGGTTTTTCCCAACCATGATGTGGTGTTGGGTCCTCGTTTTGAAGAGACGGTCCCCGCGTTCCTTTCCTCTTCTCTTCTTCTTCTCCTCCTCCCCCTCCTCCCCTCCCTCCTTCTTCCATGCGCTTCACCCACCCAGCACAACGCTTCGTGGCCCCATAGGGAGCTCCACCGAAGCCCCCAGTGGGACCGCCCGCATGCGCCCCCCACACCCAATTTGGCATTTTCACCCACCCAGTACAGCGCTTCGTGGCCCCATAGGGAGCTCCACCGAAGCCCCCAGTGGGACCGCCCGCATGCGTTCCCCACACCCAATTTGGCATCTTCACCCACCTAGTACAGCGCTTCGTGGCCCCATGGGGGGGGGCCCACCGAAGCCCCCAGTGGGACCGCCCGCATGCGCCCCCCCCCACGCCTAGTGTGGCATTTTCACCTGCCTAGTACAGCGCTCCGTGGCCCCATAGGGAGCTCCACCGAAACCCCCAGTGAGACCGCCCGCATGCGCCCCCCACGCCCCAATCTGGATGTTTCACTTATCCAGTAAAGCGCTTCGTGGCCCCATGGGGAGCCCCAGCGAAGCCCCCAGTGGGACCGCCCGCATGCGTCCTCCACACCCAACTTGGCATTTTCACCCGCCCAGTACAGCGTTTCGTGGTCCCACAGGGAGCTCCACCGAAGCTCCCAGTGGGACCTCCTGCATGCGTCCTCCACGCTCAGTTCGGCATTTTCACCCGCCCAGTACAGCGCTTCGTGACCCCATCGGGAGCTCCACCGAAGCCCCCCAGTGGTACCGCCCACATGCGTCCCCCACATCCAATTTGACATTTTTACCCACCCAGTACAGTGCTTCGTGGCAATAGGGAGCCCCAGCGAAGCCCCCAGGGGGACCGCCCGCATGCGTCCTCCACACCCAACTTGGCATTGTCACCCACCCAGTACAACGCTTCGTGGCCCCATAGGGAGCCCCACCGGAGCCCCCACTGGGACCGTCCGCGTGCGTCCCCCGCACCCGATTTGGTACTGTCACCCACCCAGTACAGCGTTCCGTGGCCCCATAGGGAACTCCACCGAGGCCCCCAAGGGGACCGCCCGCGTGCGCCCACCATGCCCAATTTGGCATTTTCACCAGCCCAGTACAGCGTTTGTGGCCACATAGGGAGTTCCACCGAAGCCCCCAGTGGGACCGCCCGCATGCGTTCCCCACAGGGAGCTCCACCGAAGCCTCCAGTGGGACCGCCCGCATGCGTCCCACACACCCAGTTTGGCATTTTCTCTGACCCAGTACAGCGCTTAGGGAACCCTACCGAAGCCGCCGTCCGCATGCGTCCTCCACACCCAATTTGGCATTTGCACCCACCCTTTACAACGCTTCGCGGTCCCATGGGAAGCTCCACCGAACCCCCCATTAGGACCGCCCGCATGCGTCCCACACGCCTAGTTTGGTATTTTCACCCACGTGGCCCCATCGGGAGCTTCACCGAAGAAGATATTCAGAATTGCGGTACCCACAATTTCATATGGTTGGGTTCTTCGCCAGGATAATTCCAAATGCCGCTCCCGCTTCAGCGTGGGCCTCATTTTCGGATCGGCGCTTTGACCCCGTCGTTCAGACTGGCGCTCTCGCCCCTGCGCGGGCCGTTTTTCTGGATCCGAGTCTTTTTTTATCTCTGTCGCCCCCTGTCCCCCCCGCCTTCCCCTTGGTCCCTGGAGTTCCACAAGTCACAACGCCCTGGGCCCCCTAAAACTCCGAGGACTGTCATGCCTCCTCTTCTCCCTTCTCCTCCATCCCCTCGGCATCCTTCCTGAGACCCGCATGGTCATCCAGAAGAGGAGGAGGAGGAGGAGGAGGAGGAGGAAGAGGAGGAGGAAGAGGGGGAGGACGACGACGACGAAGCGAACGACGAGGATGCCGTCGCTGTCGTCGTCGTCGTCCTCCTCCTCTTGTACTCGTTCTCGTCCTCGTCCTCCTCTTGTTTTTCCTCCCTTACTTTCCGCGCGCGTGCGCCCCCAGTCCAGATCCGCACGGTCTTCCTTGGGCCTTCACAACCCCCAGGGTCATTTGGAATCCCTCAGGTCTTTGCTGTACAGTGGAGACCCATGCCAAGAAACTCCCTGCTCGCCTCCAGGGTGCCGCGGGTTTCTTGGGTTTCGATGGCTTTGCGATGGAGTGCGTGACGTTCCCGCACCACAAAAAACCAAGAGACGTCGTCGGGTCTCAGGGTGAGGCTTCTTGCGGAAGGTTTCTTGTGGACTGGCCCCACCTGTATTCCTATGGGCGCCAGCAGAAGTCCCGGTCGATTGGCATCACGTGGGGGATGCCCCTTGTCAGCGTTCTTCGGGGGAGCGCGACGGTTTCTTTCGGCCGGGCCAGCTCCCGGGCCCCGCAGAGATCCCAAGAGCCGTTCTGTGTCCTCCGCCCTCGCCTCTGCGAGCAGCGCCGACCTCGAGGACTGTCGAGGCCCGCGCGCAGACGTTTTGCAGGCAGCTCTGGACGCCGTCCTGCCCAGTATCCGAATGGCCAGCCAGAAGACAAGCGTCACTGTCGTTGTCGTTGCCGCCGCCACCGTCGCCGTCGTCGTCACGGACGGGCTATCTTCCGCTCTGGAGCGTACACGGGCGGGGGGGGATGATGTAGTGGTGGAGAAGGAGGAGAAGAGGAATGAGGAGGAGCATGAGGAGGAGGAAGAGGATAATGAGGACGCCAGCGTGCGCAAGGGAGGGAGGTGAAGCCTCCTCCTCCTCCTCCTCCTCCTCCTCCTCCTCCTCCTCCTCCTCCTCCCCCTACCCCTCCTCCTCCAGCTTCGGCTCGCGAGGAACTGCCCCTGCGGGTGCCTGCCAGCGCAGTCGAGGGCCCCCCCGTGCGCGCCGAGATCAGCGCTCGGCCACGGCGGCTCCGAGGGAGACTGCTGTGCACCATCGAGCGCGACCCCGCCGGGCTGCGGACCGCGCCTTGCTTCACGCCTGGGCGAGCAAGAGGTTTGCGAGACTGGACAGCCTGTTGCAAAGCGCCGCGGCGCGGCTGGACGCCCTTTACGGCTCGTCGTCTCGGAGGATGGCGCCAACAGGCCCGCGCGCCCGCGGCCCTTGTCCTGCTAGGGGACAAGAAACCGTACTGGGGCTGCCCGAGCTGCGGGAAATCAGCAAACTGGGCGTGCCGCATCGTCTGCAGTTGTGGGCGGCGCGCACCAGAAACAATTGTTCGAAAAACGCAAAAGGCTGACAAAGAGGAACGTGTTCGGCAGTACCCTTCGAAATTGGCTGGAGGAAAGCTCGTGGCCAAGCCAGCACCGTGGAGCAAGGAGTGGCAAGGCATGTCTGATATGCTGGCCTTCCTCAAGGCAGAGCTTGCTAATGTCAAGGGGAGTGCAGGCGGGGGGGCACCTGCGGGCACATCACCTACGGCGCCGCGCCTGGACGGTGACGGGGGCAAGGGCGGCAGAAAGTTTCCCAATTTCAGTCAGAAGACGGCGCTTCAGGAAAATACTATCAAGGACGGCGTTGCGCTGAAGACAATCAAGGACCTGGCCAAACACGGTGGCATGGACAACGGCTCCATCGGCGAAGGGCACCAGGCGGAGGTCGAGAAGCTGCGCGAGCAGATCCGTGAGCTGCGACCCCCAGGATCAGCACATCGGCAGGCTGTTCAGAAGCTGGGGAGAAGCACGCGCAGCTGAATCGGTCCGGCAAGGACTTCAAGGGCATGTAGGCGCAGCTCGCGAGGTTTCAAGAGCAGACCAGCGAGAAGGAGGCGAATATCGTGGCGAAGCGCAGCGAGGTCGAGCGTCACAAGGCAGAGTTGGCTATGCACGCGAACCATCATGGATGCGCGAGGTGAAGCACGACCTGAAGCTGACGACGGCCCAACCCCAGCGAGCTTCACCGGGATCAACTCTCATGATGGGAGCTTCAAGCAGAAAGCCGGGGCCCGTGGATGTTACAAGGAGTTTTGCGCTGACCCGAAGTTCGTTGAGTTCCAGTCCGTCTTGCACAAGAAGGTGGGCGCCATGCGGGCGACTCGTGAACTGTGGCTATGCCTGTCGACGGTGATCGGCCTGACATGGAACTCGACAGCGACGGCGACGGCGACGAGCCCGCGCAGGGACCTGACGCAGCAGGCAATGACGGAGGCGGCAAGCGTGAGTGCACCGCAGGAAGGCGGGCGGCGCTGCTGTTCGGACGGGGGGGCGCTGATCACCACCTCCTGCGCGCGAGCGGGTTGCGACCCGATGCGGGGGTCAAGTGGGCCGGCGCCCCGACTCGAGAGGCCCCCATCGGCTCGCGCCCGCTCGAGACCTTCAACGCCAATCAGGCGAAGGGCGCCCTGAAGCAGAGGTTGGGAAGGACGCGCGCGCTGGCGGCCACCTTCGCTGGGGCCGCGAGGCGCTCAGCACATGGGCGAGCGCGCAAGGCGGGCAGGTTAACATTGCGCCAGGCGCGCGGGCTGGAGGCCATCTACCTGCGGCGGGATGGGCTTTCTTCGCGCGCGAGGGCGTCTGTCGGACACTCGGGGCCACAGCGCGTCCATCGGGGGCGGCGCTCGGGCGCGCGGGGGCGCTGAATGACGAGGCGGCCTTCGGCTGGGAGCTTGTCGCCCACCGCGGTCAGCGCCTTCTTGTCGAGCCCCCGGGGCGGCCACCGCCGAGCGCGTCCAACGCGCGCGCGCTCGGCGGTGGCGATGCGCAGCGCGAAGGTCCTCAAACATATCGGGCCGGCGATGGCAGGTCAGTTT